GAGTTACTTGCATTCCTTGTGGACTTGTGGCGTTTGTCACTACAGCATCTGGGTGCTTCAGAAAGGCGATGCGTGCTAGTCCGTCAGGCAAGCGGCTGGCATTCCTCCTCTTTTTGAAATAGGAGAGTCAGAGAGGATCAGAAAAATGGAAAATTTTGGATTGACACACTTGCCTGCGTAGAGCTTTAATGTTCCAAGATACTCAGTCATTAATACACGCAGAGGATAGCTCCCACTGGCCTCAGTTGCTGCCGATGGTGTTTCCCTGTGTGAATAAATTGGATACCCAAAAAATGCAAGCCAGACTTATTTAAAAAAAAAAAAGAAAGGTTGAAATGACTTGTCCTGGTACTGATGGCGATGGGATGCTGTTCTCCAAGGCACTGTTTGTTGCTGTGTGATTCTCCTTTCTGTCCTCCGCTGTCATTCACTTCACATCCTCCGAATGCTGTGCTGAATGAGCAGGGATCTTGTGGTGTTGCTGCTCAGATCCATGCCTGGACAGATCCAGAGATGTGCCGAGTAAGGAAAAGAGCCTTTGGTAAGAGGGCTGGAAGACTGTACTATGATATATACATAAACGGCAGCTGAATTAATCCTGCATTAGTTACGGCATTTCTTGTGTATACACTTAACTTTGAAACCTTGGGTTTTCTGTAAAAAGGACCTGCTTTTCTTAGAAAGCAAACTTCAAAAATAGTTTGCAGCATTGAACCACCCACATGGGTGATAAATACAGATCTCTGCTATTTTAGCAATTAAAGTAACAAAATAATGGTAAATGATGATTTTCTGAGAGTTTGCCAGCAAGCCGGTGATACTTGCTGATGGCAAAGGGATCGCGGGATTGAGAATTGGGGATTCAATTCCTGCTCTGAAGGGGTGAATGCTGTAATTGTTTTCCACTCATTCCCCAGCAAAAGCATGTCTATTTTTGTACCCCTCCTGCCCTAGCCCCTGAACTTGGCTCTTCCCAGCCTCTTGCCCAAGCAGCTTCTCTCCACCATTTAGACCCTCATTGCACCCATTTTTAATTCCCACTGCTGCTTCATAATCCTAGTCCTCTCCTCTCGGCTCAGCACTCCATCCCAGCCTGCCTCTCCCTGCTCTCCCGATTCCAGAGGTTTTCCCTCACATCCTTCTTATGTTTCCCAATCTCCTTGCATTTTGACCAGGTCCCCTCCCGAGTCTGGCTTTCGTCAGCCAGAACTGGGCATCTTCTCCATTCATGTTTCAGGAGGGATGCTAAAACTCAGCAGTGAGTCATGGTGTGGAACAATCTCCAGCAAGCCCTGCTGCTGGTTCGTGACTTTGTGGAGGTGGCACATAGAATCACAGAATGGTTTGGGTTGGAAGGGACCTTTAAAGGTCATCTAGTCCAACGCCTGTGCTATGGGCAGGGACATCTTCCACCAGATCAGGTTGCTCACAGCCCTGTCCGACCTGACCTTGGATGATGCCAGGGATGGGGCATCTACCACTGCTCTGGGCAACCTGTTCCAGTGTTTCACCACCCTCATCTTAAAAAATTTCTTCCTTCTATCTAGCCTGAATTTACCCTCTCGTAGTTTAAAACCATGTCAGAGCTCTGTGCAAAAGGGGGGTTTCACTGGGGGTGGGATGGCTCAGGCAGACCCCCATGTCCAGAGGAGCTGCAGGAGGATGAAATGTTCTCAGCAAGGCTGTAATCTGAGATTTTTAGTAACTAACAGAAGTCTTAAGTATGAACAAACTGGTAATTTTTATCTTCTTCTCCCCCTCAAGTTTATAGCTTGGCCAAATTCAGGCAGATTTTTATATTGTGACAACATATCCAAGACATAGTGCTTTCTCCCATACGAAGTCTCTTTTCAAAGATTTTTGGAAGAGAAACTTTTTTTTAAAAAAGTAATAATCTACATATATGAAAGCTTTTTCTTAGCCTCATTTTTGGAACCATTTTGGCGGAAATTTTCTGTGGAGGGGAAAAAAAAAAATCAGACAATTCAGAAGGAAAGTTTTGCCTTTGCGAGTTGAAATGTGTCAAAGTTTTAAATAGCCCAACAGAGGCTCTCATAGTGGGAAGTGTTGGCAGCTGTAAATATATAGTTACATCCTGCAGGTTAATACAGAATCCAGAGGGAGGATGCCAGTACTTTCATTAACATAAATAACTTCAAACACTCTCTATTTTAATACCTACGTGTAGTCCTACCGCAATAGAGGCTGAGTACGTATCTGAGCACCTTGCCATCCTGGTCAAGTGACCTCATACTCCAGCTGTTTTTTTCCAGGGTGGTGGCAGGACGTAGGCATTGCCAACGGGTCGTTGTTGCGTATCGGGACTCAGTGCTGAAAGCTCTGCAAGAGTTCCCCTGTCAAAAGGAGAAATATCTTTCACCTTTTTCAAAGAAGGAAACTTAGAAAAGACAAGTTTGTGTGCTGTCACGCCGGTGGCATTTGGAAATGCCCGTCTGCAGGTGTGTGCAGATAGTTTGTGACCTTCTGTTCGGTACAGGCTTGCTGCTTGTACTGCTGTTGTGCTGTTGGAGGACACCATGGAGT